TCAGCAAGATGGCTGGGGAATTCTGGGAGCTGGAGTCCAAATATCTTCAGAATTCATCAGCAAGATGGCTGGGGAATTCTGGGAGCTGGAGTCCAAATATCTTAAGAATTCATCAGTAGGCTGGCTGGGGAATTCTGGGAGCTGGAGTCCAAATATCTTCAGAATTCATCAGCAAGATGGCTGGGGAATTCTGGGAGCTGGAGTCCAAATATCTTCAAAATTCATCAGCAAGATGGCTGGGGAATTCTGGGAGCTGGAGTCCAAATATCTTCAGAATTCATCAGTAGGCTGACTGGGGAATTCTGGGAGCTGAAGTCCATGCAAACCAGCCAAGTTTCAGAAACATTACTCTAGTCTGCCCACGGAACGTGGCTCTTTTAAGCCACGTAGAACAAAATGTTTCCCGTTATTTAAGATCTGACACATCTGCAATTTCACCGTTGGGTGTTGCCCCATCTAACGGATTCTGTCCTTGTTCGTTCAGAGGCAGGAAACGGCTAGCCAGGAACAGGAAGCCCTTCAGCTCTTCGTCTTGGAACGGCCCCACGGCGGTGAGTGGTCAACAGAGGGTTCCTCTTTCCAACGTTGGCCCTGGGTTCGAGGCGAGCCCTCCATGTGACACCGCCCACTAATTCTTGTTCTGCATTCAGGGCCCCCGTGCGGACAACGCTCACAAGAAACGTTTCTCCAGCACCCCACATACAGGCAAGGCCAGAGGGAAAGGTAAAGCAGAGGAGATCTTGGAAAACTCAGGTGGGTGGCCGTCTCTGGGTCAAGCCTATTTTATTTTAATCTCTGTGTATAAAATCAAAATGCCCCTCACACATCATCACAAAATCTCCAGAACCGTAAAGCCTACAAACTTGAAATTTGGCCCCTATGTTCCTCTTGGCTTCTAGGTGCTCACTAAGAAAGGATTTTTCCAAATGACCATCAGAGCATTTAGAGTATTTCCTATATTATTATTATTATTAACACGCTCTGATGCTAAGGAGTTCTACTCCCCCTCCCCACTTGGAAAGAAAGCTGTTCCAAATGCAAAAGGAGCAAGCGGAGGAGTTTCAGTTTCAGAGCAGTAAAGCTGCTTTAGTACAGAACAGTTGAGCCACGCCACGCCCAGGCTCCTTGCTGTCTCCTTGCTCACACAGTAAATACTGTTTCCGTTTCGAAACAGCCCTCGACTCTCCCTCTGACAGGACACTAGCCAGGTGAATGCCGACGGAGGCAGAATTCCCCTCCCCCTTATTTTGGCAGTTTGGGATGATACCCCTCGGCTGCCCCACCTGATCCTGTCATCTCCCAACAGAGAACCTCTACGACGAGCCCTCGGCGGATCTCTCCGAGATCGACGCCCGTCTGCAGGCGCTGCAGGAGTACATGAATAAGCTGGAAACGCAGACGTAGCCCGAGCGGGGGAGCTGAGCCTTGGCCCAGCTCGATCCGGTCCAAACGTCGATGATGTCCTTTTCCTCCACTCTCGCTACCCTGGTTGTGGGTCTTCCTCCTACGGCTACGTCCTTAAGGGGTGGGGAGGGCTGGGGTGGGGAGGGGGAATGGGAGACGGCTGTCCTGCCAAACCTCAGCTGTGGAAAGCCTTCCTAAGAACGATTTCATTAAAGGTTTCTAAGAACAACCTTCCCGAGAAGTTTTCCCTTCTTGCAAGAATCCTTTTTACGGCAGTGATTCTTAAGCTCAGCAGCTTTAAAGGTGAACATAGAGTAACAGAGTTGGAAGGGACCATGTAGGTATGTGATGGCAAACCTATGGCACATGGGCCACAGGTGGCCCGCAGAGCCGTTTGCGCCGGCACGCGAGCCCCAGCCAAACTTACCTGCACTGCGCATGCGTGCGCCTCTCCGCCGATTTTTCGGCCTCCCAGAGACTCAAGGGAAGCCTCTGCAGCTTTTGGAGGGGCGAAAACCAGGCCCTTCACCCCTTCCTGTTTTTCCGGAAATACCAGAAGTGACTAAACAGGCCCATTTTTCGGCCTCCAAAGCCTGCAGAGGCTTCCCTTGAGCCCCTGGAAAGTTGAAAAAGGACTCAAAACAGGCCAAAAATTCAGCTGGGAGGGGCACGCATGTGCGGTGTAGGTAAGAGGGTGGCGGCAGGGGAGGGTGTCGTGTGCTTGTGGAGGGGGGCTGGGGGGGGCACACACATTGCCTTCTGGGTGCTGGCACATGAGCGTGCAAGCACAAGCGTACGCACAATTTTTGGCCCAGGAGCCCAAAAAGGTTAGCCACCACTGCCCTACACCATCCCTGATTGGACAATGGCAAGTCCAATCTAAGTGGACTTCCAATTCCCAGAATTCCCCGGCCAGCCATGTGGCCCCCTTGGCTACATTTTGCTATATTCTCCTTTGCAAAGTTCGCATCCGGCGTCTCCGTGTTTTTTTAAAGAGTCCACCTGCCATTTGTTTTCGCCTATGAAATTCTGCTTTACAGGTTTATTTTTTAAAAAATATCTGCTTTCTTCCAATCCAAGCCATCCTGAATCCCATTCAAATCCTTGGAAGTTTTTTTTGAAGTTTGGCTCGAGAATCCTGATTTAATTAGGGTGATTGCTGGAATCCTGACACCTTAATTTTCCCCAAATGTCGGAATTCCAGCAGAGCACAGAGCGGTTGACTTTGTTCCGTTTCGCCCACCAAATCATCCCTGGGCTTAAGAAATTTGAACCACACACACACACACACAAAATGAGACAACTTTTATTAGAAATGGTTTTTTCCCCCCCCCCCCCCCCCCCCCAAACCGAAATCCGAGGGGCTTAAATCAACCCATGAAACGACAGGAAGGCAGGCAGGAACAAATGTGTTGCTAAAATCCCGTGGTGGAAAAACAAGTTATAACGCAGTAGATCGCATGAAAAGAGGAATGTTACTTGATAAAAACACACAACTGCTTTGTAGACAGACATTTTGACTGGCAAGAAAAGGGCTAAGGCAAGGGGTGTGCAAACCCTTGGCAACTTTTAAAAGGGCTTCTTCCGGAATTCTCCAGCCAGCAACTTTTTAAGATGCTGTGGGGTTCAATTCCCAGAATTCCTCAGCCAGCTGTGCTGGAATCCTGGGAGTTGGAAGTCCACAAGTCTTAAAAGTTGCCAAGGTTGGACACCTCTAGGCTCTTCAGATCAATGACGGGCTGGCTGTTTTTTTGTTTTTTGTTTACTTGCGAGGCGTTTCCAACAGGAAATGCTCAGAAACTGCGTCCTGTTCTATTACTCCTCCCATGTTTACATCGCCAAATTCAAGGATGCTTTCCATTTTGAAAGAAAGGAGCGTGCACCACCCAGAGATTTCTGGTGAGATTTTAAAAATAAAAATCCTGATATATTTTTTTTAAAAAAAGAAGTCCCGCTTTTCTCAGAACAAGAAAGAAAAAAGGGGTAGGGGAGTAGGAAACTTACGACCCCTTGTCCACTCTGGGGGATCAAGGACTGGCTTTTTGCACCGACTACTTTAAAGCCGTGCTTGGTTTCAAGAGACAATCTGGACCGAGCAGAAGGCCAATGGTTGGCGGTGCCCAACCGCTCTTCTGAAGAGGGAAAGAAACCCACCCTGTTGTGGTTAGCCGGCAGCAGGTGAGGACGGCTGAGGAGAGCGAGGACTCAGATGAGGGGCCAGGACCATCAGGGAGTGGACTGCTGCCTTCAGAGATTGTGGGGGCTGGCAGCAGCGATAAGGAGGGTCCCGAGGAGCCTGTGCTAAGTGCACATGTGCGCAGGATTGCTTGCAAGAGCAGCTGCAGCAGCATGGGTGACTCGGGAGTAAGGCTGCAAGGTAATGGCCTCCTTCAAGAAGATAAAAGCTAGCTGTGAAAGGAACGTACATTGCAGAAGGCAAAGACGTTTTGAAACCCCAGCCTTGTGGACATTCCAGTATCCTGAGTTTGTATTTGAAGATTCTTGTATTGCAAATTATTTCTTGTCTGTTATCTTTGGGCAAGTCTCGTACAGTTTGGCAAGGCTTGTGCTTATCACAGCTAATTATTTTGTAAAAGCATTACAAGGTTTCTGTTCCTTTTGGATTGTGTTTGATTTGTCGGAAAAGGGCGTGGGTCAGAACACACCCTTTCCGAATCTTTCACTTATTTAAGGCACCCCTATCCCATCCCAATGGCAGGAAAGCCAATTTTGGATCTTCTCCTTCCACCATTTTGGTTTGGTGGTTCCCATCAGTGGGGGAGACAGCCACGCAACCTTCGTGGTAGATCCACTTCCAGAGCTCCAAGGAGAACCTCACCCCTCTTCCACAGCTTTGCAATCCTCTCTGCCTCTTGGGCCGCAGCCGTCGCCTCCCGAGAAACCAGTGCCATCGTTCTCATCCCAGCCACGTCCGGTAGAACCGAGGAGACCTTCCGAAGGTTGGAAGAACCTCCGTCCGCCTTAGAGGGCCAGGTATTCCGCCAGGAAGGCAGCCAAGATCTTACTCAGGTTCTCCACGGTGGGGCGGTCCAGGTTGGCTTCGGTGTCCTCCAGGGTGTGCCAGACCTTGGGGAACGGGGTGGCGATGAGGTGGAGGACTGGGACGCCTAAGTCAGAAAGAAATACACGAAACACACACATAGGAAGATGCTTCGGATAGCTACCAGGGGAAGACCGGATGCAGAAGTTGGCGGAAATGGCAAAATGGACTAGTGTGCTCGAAGAAAAGAACTTAAGTACGCTTGTTTCTCTCGAAAGAGACTCTACAAAGAGTGCAGAGAAGAGCAACAAAGGAGATTAGGGGACTGGGAGGCTAAAACATAGGAAGAACGGTTGCTGGAATTGGGTCTCTGTAGTTTAATGAAGAGGAGGATTATGGGGGGAACATGATAGCAGCCTTCCAATATCTCGGGGGCTGCCCCAAAGAAATTATTCTCCAAAGCACCAAAGAAGGCAGGACAATAAGCAATGGATGGAAACTCATCAAGGAGAGAAGCAAACTGAATTTGAGGAGAAACTTCCTAATCAGGAGGACAATTAACCAGTGGAACTGCTTGCCACCAGAGGTTATGAATGCTCCAACACTGGAAGTTTTTTAAAATAAGAAGAAGAAAAAAGAAACAATAGGACAGGGACGGTAGGCACTTTGGTGCGCTTATGCACCGACCATTGGTCTGAACTGGTATAGGTTTCCAGCCTAGGCAGGGGGTTGGACTATAAGACCTCTAAAGTCCTTTCCAACTCTTATCTATCTATCTATCTATCTATCTATCTATCTATCTATCTCTTATCTATCTCTATCTCTTTTCTATCTATCTATCATCTATCTATCTATCTATCTATCTATCTATCTATCTATCTATCTATCTCTTATCTATCTATTTATCTATCTATCTATCTATCTATCTATCTATCTATCTATCTATCATCTATCTATCTCTACACACACACACATCTACGTCTGTCTATCTACCAATCTATTTCTGTCTATCTATTTGTGTCTATCATCTATCTACATCTCTCTCTCTCTCTCTCTCTCCACACACACACACACACACCGTGTTTATCATATAATAAGGCCGGGTCTTTTTTTTTTTTTTGAGCCCCCCAAAAATGGCTAGGCCGTCTTTGTCTTTTCGGGGGTGACATAATTCCCCCCCCTTGCATCTTCGGGTGGGCGGGCGGGCGACAGCTTGGATGTTGACCTCGGCGTTGGAGGGGCACTTCGTATCGGGGTCAACGCGGGCAGCACCATATCCGGGTGTGCCACAAAAGTACTTCCTAACGGCAAGCCCCCCCACCGCCATTCCCCCCCCATTTCGCATGTTTTAATATAGGCCTTAATTTGGGGGGGGAGGGGCTTAATTTCATTTCATGCCTATAAAACATGCTGGGACTTCCTCTTGGGGGAGGCCGTATTGTTGGAGAAACACGGTATATATTTGTGTGTGTGTTTCCACATGGAAACTGCTTCTGCACTTCGTGCTTGACGTGGAAAAGAAAGTAATTTTGACTTTGGGTTTTGCAGGTTAGATTGATCGATCTTTATCGAAATGACTTGTTCATATTATTATGGGAAATCAAAAAGCGGTGATTTGATGTTAATGCCATATTCTACTGCAACAGAGAGAGAGTTGGAAGTCAATGCTGCTTTTTTTCGTTTCTTTTTCCTATCTTTCCTCACTTCTCTTTCCCCTCCCCTCTCATTGCTCTTTTATTTACTTTTGTATTTTGCATTTTATAATACTTTTATAACCTAATAAAAAAAAGTGGTTTGGAAAAAATAAATACGCAAACACACACCTTAACCCCACCAGCTACCTTTGATTTCACACCAAGGCTTGATTTTAAGAAGGTTTAAATTAGACTTCTATGATCGTTGCAATCTATCAGTGTTGAACATGGGGGAGGGGAACTCTGTTTTTCGGGGGGGGGGGTTGTCCTTTTAATCCATATCTTTTTTTTCCCTGTATACAGGTAGTCCTCAAGGTACGGCCACAATCATGCCCCAAACTTCTGTCATTAAGTGAGACAGTTGTGAAGTGAGTTTTGTCGTGGTGGTTAAGGGAAGCACTGCAGCTGATAAGCTAAAGTCACCTGATAAAAGATGACTCTACTTTTCCCCGTTGACTTCGCTGGTCAGACGGTCGCAAAACGGGAGTCACAGCACCCCGGGATGCTGCAACCGGTCATAAATATGAGTCAATTTGCTCAGCATCTGAATTTGGATCACGTGACATTGGGAATGCTTGAAAGGTCGTAACTGAATTATGGCCGTAAGTCACTTTCCCCCCCCCCCCCCCCCCGTGACGTTGTGACTTCGAACGGTCGCTAAACGAAATGGGTTTTTTTTCCTAGCTTTGTTTTGCCTTTGTAATTCCCCCCCCCCCCCGCCCCTTTGGATTAGGTGTTTTAACTTTTGGAATAAAATAAAAAATTGATTACCAAAGAAGGAGACGAGAGAAAAGAGGCCGGTTTTGGCAAACGGGGCAGTGGTGGGATTCAATTATTTTTTTTACTACCGGTTCTGTGGGCGTGGCTTGGTGGGCGTGGCAGGGGAAGGATATACTGCAAAATCCCCCTTGCTTTTCTCCACATTAAATTTCATTTTGTTGGATAGGGCCAATTGTTCAAGTCTGTCAAGATCTTTTTGGGAGGTTGGCTAGTCCTGCCAGGTGAGTATCACCTGCAAATTTGATGAGGCCCCCTTCTATTCCCTCACCCAAATCATTTATGAAGATATTGAAGAGTACTGGGCCTAAGATGGAACTTCGTGGTACCCCACTGCTTACTTCCCTCCATGTAGTACCATTAAGGATGACTCTTGAGTACGGTTTGGCAGCCAGTTACAAATCCATCTGGTGGGGATGCTGCCTATCCCACTTTTTCTAACTTACTAAGAGGTAGGTTGTAGTCTACTTTGTCAAATGCCTTGCTGAAGTCTAAATATACTATGTCCACAGCATTTTATTCATTCACTTAGTCACTTTGTTGAAGAATTATTGTATGACTGTATGAATGACCGTATCAGTGGTGGGATTCAAATTTTTTTTATTACCGGTTCTGTGGGTGTGGCTTAGTGGGCGTGGCTTGGTGGGCATGGCAGGGGAAGGATATACTGCAAAATCCCCCTTCTTTCCCCACCCCACTAACCTGCTTTCCAGCTCCGTTCTCCTGTGCAGGGCAACCAAAGGAGACCCAGCCGATCAGCTGGGACTCAATGGGAGACAGAGAATAGATGGGGGCGGGGCCAGTCAGAGGTGGGATTTGCCAGTTCTCCAAACTACTCAAAATTTCCGCTACCGGTTCTCCAGAACTGGTCAGAACAGGCTGAATATCACCTTTAGAACGGTGTGTGTGTGTGTGTGTGTGTGTGTGTGTCAAAGGGGATTGGGGGCTGGGAACGTACCTTTCCTGAGGAAGGGGGCATGGTCATCTTCGACAGAGCCGTAGAGGGACCTTCTGTGGAAATACAGCTGTTCCTGGGAATGGGATTGGAGCAGTCCAAGGCGGTGCAGCCGTTTTTCTACCGAATGCAAAGCAGGGATTAGCCAAGGTGTCTCCTTGCACCCAGGTCTGCTTGCCTACAAGGGGGTATTCTGGCTATAGAGCCAGGACTGCATTCCTGCAAGTTTCAAGACAATCTTACCATGTTTCCCTGAAAATAAGACCGGGTCCTATATTAATTTTTGCTCCAAAGGATACATTAGGACTTATTTTTCCAGTTGAGTCTTATTTGGGGGGGGAATACGGGGCACCAAATGCATCCGTCCAGCTAACAATCTTAACTGGGGCTTATTTTCGGGGCATTTTTATAATTACGAGCATCCTGAAAAAATCATGCTTAGGGCTTATTTTCCAATTGGGTCTTATTTTCAGGGAAACAGGGTACTTACAATCACACTTGTTGACCAGAGTTGCGCAGCGAAGAGCTTGTTAAGGGAATCGTGCGTGGTTTTTATGACTCTTTTGGCCACGTCGTTAAATGAATCACTGCAGCCGTTAACTGAATCTTGTGGCCGTTAAACAAATCTGACTCCACCCCCCTCCAACTGACTTTGCTGGGCACCAAATAGCGATCACGTGACCCCCAGAGATCCCTGAAGCTTATGGTAAATGCCAAGCACCCAAATTCTGACCCCATGGCCGTGCGGATGCTACGATGGTTATAAGTGCAAGGACCGATTGTTTTCAGGGTTGTTTTAATTGCAAACGTGTCGCTAAGCAAAGGATTGCAAGCCGAGAACTGCCTGTCCCTGAGGTAGAGGCATGGCTGAGGTCCTGCTATTCTCTCACTTGCAAATTTCATTCTCCCATTGCACCGATGATACTGGTAACGAAACATTTGCATGGGAATCAGGAAATGCCTGTAAACTTCTGCTAACTCAGTTTCTGGATCTTACCGAGGCTAATAAGCCTCTCGAACCAACCGGATGTTGCATGGAAATGATTTTGAAAGGACGGCTGAGGGGCGCCCAAGAGATCCAGCAAAACGAAGAGAGACTGCAAGGGAAAAAATATATAGAAATTGCTGATTTTTTTTTACCACGGTTTTTCTCAGCCTTGGCAAAGTTAAGATGGGTGGCTCCAACTGTCAGAGTTCTCCAGCCAACATAATTTAGGATGGACAGACCTCAACTCCCAGAATTCCCCAGTCAGCATGCTTTAAGATGGGTGGATTTCAATTCCCAGAATTCCCCAGCCAGCATAGTTTAGGATGGATGGATTTCAAGTCGTGGACTTCCTCAGCTAGCATGCTTTCAGACAGGTAGACTCCAACTCCCAGAATTCCTCAATCAGTGTGCTTTAAGGTGGGTGGACTTCAACTCCCAGAATTCCCCAGAAAGCTTCCCTTAAGATGAATGGACTTCAACTCCCAGAATTCCCCAGCCAACATGCTTTAGGGTGGGTGGACTTCAATTCCCACAATTCTCTAGCCAGCATGCTTTAAAGTGAGCAGACTTCAACTCCCAGAATTCCCCAAAAAGCTTCCTTTAAGATGGGATTACTTCAATTCCCAGAATTCCCCCAAAAGCTTCCTTTAAGATGGGAGGACTTCAATTCCCAGAATTCCCAACCAGCTTGCTTTAAAGTGAGCAGACTTCAACTCCCAGAATTCCCCAGTCTGCATGCTTTAAGGTGGGTGGACTTCAATTCCCAGAATTCCCCAGTCTGCATGCCAACCAGATTGCACAAGAGGGAACTGGTTGAATCCTCAATGACGTCACCTGAGATGATAATGATGTCACCCGGCCCAGGTGACGAAGAGTTCACCTGCTTGATGACCTCATCATGGCTTCTACTTCTGATTTCTATCCACATTATCCACTCCCAGAGAGAGAGAAAGAGGGACTCACTATCGCCTGCAGGTGAGTGATGCCCAGCCGATGTGGGGTCCTGCCCATGTGCTCAGCTAGGTGTCGGGCCCCATAGAGGGAATCTGTCTCACTCCACTCGCGGAAGGCTTCTTCCCCATCAAAGAAGAGCAGCTGCAGGGTTATTTTCGAAGCCTGAAACCACAAAGGAAGTGGGTTCAGTTGTGTGTTGTGGCCACAAAGTCACAAAAGAGGATCAACAGCCATCTCAACCTTGGCCGCTTTAAGACCTACGGACTTCAACTCCCAGAATTCCCCAGCCAGCATGCCAACTAGAGGGAACTGGTCGAAGCCCCAATGATGCCACCTGCTTGATGATGTCATCCTGCCCAGGTCATAGCTGGTTGGGGAATTCTGGAAGTGGAAGTCCGCAGGTCTTAAAATGGCCGCGGTTGGGGATTTGTTCATCTAAATCCATCTCTTAGGTTCTTAATACCCGTGGCAAATATTTTGCAGGTAGTTTTCTCAGGAAATGCAATTTTATGTTTTGGCCAAATTTTTCTTGCCCAATTCCAAAATTCCTTTTTTTTTTTTTAACATACAAATTTTAAAAATCAACATTTTGCAGGCCACGGAAGCCTTTACAATACTTTGGGGGGAAAATAAAGAAATGCAATTTATTTCTGCATTGAAAAGCGTCCCACCCCAAACAGACGGCAAGGATGATAAACGGCACTCTGCCAGCTCTAACCTCTAGTCTCTACTCCCTCCTCCTGACACTTTCCCAGCTTCCCACCTTGACCGTCTCACCTGCTCTTTGGCCTTCCGGAGCCTGTGGTCCAACGCGGTTGCTAACTCCAGCAGGATGGCGCAGGGCACGGCTGAATCGGTGGCCCCCACGAAAACCCGTCCGTGCTTGTCTCGGGGGAAGTATTTGGAGTCGTAGTGGCAGGCGAAAACCAGGCGCCAGGTGGCCGCGGGGTCCAGCGTGGCCACCACGTTGGCAAAGCTAACCGTGCCGTGCGGAGTCCGGTCTTTGAAAGCATCCAGTTCCACCTGCCAAGAAGCCTTCAGGGCCTTTAGCCGTTCCACGATGAACTCGAGAGAAACCGAGGGAAAAACAAAACATCAGGACCAGCTAAGTCGCTTAGTCAAGTTTCTCGTCCTCTCTTGAGTGATAATGCAAGTAGTCCTCGGCTTATGGCCACAAAGGAGCCACAAATTTATGGCCAGTTGTTCAGTGAGCTTTGGCCACATTGTACAACCTTTCTTGCTGTCGTGAACACCACTGTCGTTAAGTGAATCCAGCTTCCCCGTTGACTTTGCTCGTCGGAACGGCCGCAAAAGGGAACCACAGGATCCTGAGACATTGCAACCGTCATAAATATGAGTTGGTGGCCAAGAGTTTGAATTTTGATCGCGTGACCGTGTGGGAAAAACAGCCATAAGTCAGTGCTAGTGTAACTTCGGTCACTAAATGAACCGTTGTAAGTCAAGGACTACCTGTATATAAATTTAGTATAACTCTAAATGCCAAGCAACCATGCTAGAAGCTTCCAAAGATAATAAAAATGTTATTTTCCTGCGACAGCATATTCTCCATCGAGCTTTCTGGATGCTGTCCGCCATTTTTAAAAATTCCTTTTAATCCCTTCAAAAACCACTTTTACTTGGGGGGCCTCAAGACACATAAAATGTGGTATACAAAATACTGAATAAATAAATTATTGAGCAGGGCGCTCATACGTGTCTCTCTCAGGATCTGGCCAAAGATGTATTTTAGTTGCATATCTTCTATCTATATAAAAGCAAAATGCCCCTCACGCATCATCACAAAATCTCCAGAACCGTAAACCCTACAAACTTCACATTTGGCACCTATGTTCCTCTTGGCTTCTAGGTGCTCACAAAGGAAGGATTTTTCCAAATGACCATCAGAGTATTAATATTTCCTATATTATTATTATTATTAACACGCTCTGATGCTAAATGGTTCTACTCCCCCTCCCCACCTGAAATCTATTCCAAATGCAAAAGCCAAGCAGAGGAGTAGAGTTTCTGTTTCAGAGCAGAAAGCAGTTTTAGTACATAACAGTTGAGCTAAGCCACGCCTAGGCTCCTTGCTGTCTTCTTGCTCACACAGCAAATGCTGCTTCAGTTTCCAAACAGCCCTCAACACTCTCTCTCCTCACCTGAAAAGAAATATGTTCCAACTGCAGTTGAGCTAAGCCACGCCCAGGCTCCTTGCTGTCTCCTTGCTCACACAGCAAATACTGTTTCAGTTTACAAACAGTCCTCAACTCTCTCACACACTGACAGGACTCTAGCCAGGTGAATACCGATGGATGCTGGTAGGCAGAGGCACAATTTTTCCCCTTATTTTCCTCCCCAAAAACTAAGCCCCACCACATAGTTTCATAGCGAAGCACACGGGTATCGAGCTAGTATTCATATACGCAGCAACCTTTGAAGGACAGAATCCAGCTGCAAAATGTCACAGTGGGCACCAACTCACCTGCCGTATCTTGATGTTGCCAGAGCTGCCTGAATACCTCTCCACCAACATGGGCTGCAGGTAAGTCGTCCAAAGGCATTGCAAATCCAGCTGGGACGTCAGATGTTTTAACTGGCTGCTCGACAAACTTCGGGGTTTATGGATCAGCTGTGGGAAGGAGACCACCATTTATTTATTCCTCACTTATGGGAGCATTTCAAAGCAGCTGTATGGGCTTTGTGTTCCTCCGAAGGCCACCTTGGCAACTTGAAGATGGATGGACCAACACCCAGAATTCCCCAGTTCAACATGCCAGTGAATTTTAAGATGGAGGGACTTCAACTCCCAGAATTCCCTGGCTTAGTAGGTGAATGAACTTTAAGATAGGTAGTCTTCAACTCCCAGAATTCCCCAGCCAGCATGCTAGTGAATTTTAAGATGGGGGGGACTTCAACTCCCAGAATTCCCTAGCTGGCATACTATACCAAGCCCTCCTTCACTGGCCCATTTGACTTTTCATTCCTTTTTAAAAAAAATTGGCCAAGGGTCCTTGCGTGCCCTGGTTGACTTCGATCTGCATTGTTGGAAATGCCCCAAATGCATTTTCTGTGGTGGCCGTGAAGGGCTAAAGCAGAGGTCTCCAACCTTGGCCACTTTAAGCGTGGTGGATTTCAACTCCCAGAATTCCCCAGCCAATTCTCCCCAATTCTGGGAGTTGAAGTCCGCCAGGCTTAAAGTGGCCAAGGTTGGAGACCTCTGGGCTAAAGTATACTAACATTCGCCTTCATGTCTTAATGTGGGCAGAGAGTTGGCAGGGCTGTG